TTCGAGGCCAGCCTGGTCTACAGAGAGAGTTCCAGGACAGGCACCAAAGCTACACAGAGAAACCCTGTCTCAAAAAAAACAACAACAAAAAAAATCTTTGAGAAACTGAAGGAGGGAAAGCTCAACATCACCTAATGTTACTGTGAATAACATCTTTCAAGGGTCTATAGGATAGAGAGATCAAGAGAATTTCATCATCATCATTCAGTTAGGAAGTGCAGTGTGGTCAGGAACTGGCATTTAATGAGAACTATGTCAGTATAGTCAACTATGAAAAAAAAAGATAGGGCAGTTTTTCTATATGTTCATTGGACTCTGAATTTCCACCTCCTTATTCTTCATGATATTTGAATCTTCCAAGAAATTGCGTTTAAATGAAACTAGTAACTGTCTGTACTGCCAAAAGTAAAGCCTGGCCAAGAATGAAATAGTTGTCAACTACAGACTAGGAAGTCAGAAACCATGTAGACCAGAAAGCTAAATGGATAAAAAGGAGTCAGGAATAAATCTGACATGAAAGGGCATCCAAGTACAACATACGCTTTGAAGATGTGAATCTGGAATTCTACAGGGTCAGACTGGAACCAGATGGGATGGGAAGATCTTGGGAGGGATACTGGGGTGAGCTTAATGGATTTGGGGGATGATTTGACATTCATTCATCATCTAGATTGAGCTGGGTGGATGTTCTGAACTTTTGAAAACAAGGCTAGGCTGGAGAAATGTTCAGAAGGTGAGAAGGAGCTTGTCACAGGCTTCTAAGGCTGTGCAACCAAAGCACGGCAAACTCTGATAAATATTTTTTTCTGAACACTATCAATCTATTCATACTCTATGGAAGTAATTCATATTCTAATGAATGAATAATTGTTAAATTACTGATTGGGTTGTATCAAAAGCATTGCCCTCTTCTACATACATGATGCGCTGCGGGGGGAGATTCTGCTTCATCAAAACATGTTTCTATAAACTTCACTGTAATTTCTATATTAAGCTAAGAGCGCAGGATCACAGACATTAGGAAAATTCACAAGTTGCAATGTGAATTTTCAAGAGGGAAAATTCTTCCTCATTGTACTGCCCTTGGCTCTGTTTTCGGTATTGATCAAGGCATTCTAGGTATTTCGGTATTGATCAAGGCATTTGTCACCTTTGGCTCCCAGACTGTCTTCACTGCACACGAAAGAGATGTGCTGTCAGTCTGGACAGTTGTTGAATAATCTTGGAATCCATCTGAATATACGTGATCGTCTAAGTCTTGGCCAAAGACTTTTAAATGACTGTGTACTTCATTTCAAGTATGCTTGTGCATGCCTTTCTGGATGATAGACACCATACAAATGTGTGGCAAAAGCACAGAATTTAATAGCTTGTTATGTGACAAAACAATCATTTTGTCACATGGATAATGTTAACATGGGGTTGTGTAAATTCTGAAAGTTTATAACTTGTATCCAATCTGTATCAACTCTTTTTTTGAAATGTCTCCTTTTTCACTTGAAAAATATGAAATTCAGATTTTAGCCACTTACTTGGAAGTTTCATGACATAATATATATTGGTGCTGGAAGCACAATCTTAATTGCTAGGCACTCCAAGATTTCTATTTTTTTACTATACAAAAAGAATGCAATAGAAAATATAATATAAATTCACTGGTGCCCAACTGTATGTTGAAATTGAAATAACAGTTATATGGTAGAGGTTATACTGAAAATCATTGCCCAAGGATACCTGATGACATGAGGTTTCTCCCTGGAATCTCAAAGCTCCTTAACATCTAGGGATAATACTATGTTTATTTAGTATTGAGATAGATGAAGAGATAAAAGCATACATGATTATCTTGGGTTTGTGTATGTATATATTTGTGTATGTATATATATTGTGTATGTATATATATATTTGTGTATATATATATATGTGTGTGTGTGTGTGTGTGTGTGTGTGTGTGTGTGTGTGTGCACTTTCATGAATGTGCATGTGTGTGGAGGTAAGAGATAGGAATCACTGAACCTGGCACTCACTATTTCAGCTGGACTGGCTAGTCAATAAGTCTCAGAAATCCCTCTGTCTCTGCTGATCCAGACTGAGAATACAGACACTAACATTTTCATTTGGGTTCTGTGGGATCTATCATAGTTTCTCATGCTTGCACAGCAAACATTTTACCTACTAAGTCTTCTCCCCAACTCCTCAGCCTAGTTTTAAAAGAAAATAGCCAAATTTAAACTTTTTCTAAATCTTTCGATTTAGTTCTACAAGAAAACTGGACCTTGGTTTTCTTACAGACTGACAATATTGGAAGGTAGTGGGACTGTTAAAAGGGAAAGCATAGTGGAAGTGCCTTAGGTCAACCAGGAGTGTGGTCTTCAGAAGGACTGGGAGAGCCATGTCTGTCTCTGGCTTTGTATTTTGTGAAATGTTCTTTTTCCCTGTCTCTCTCTGTCTTCTACCATCTATTTAGATCCCTTTCAGCCTCTAAACCAACCAGCTCAATAAACCGCTTTTAATGGCTTTTAATCTTAGCTTGCTTCAGGGAGTGCATCAGTTTGAAAAACAGACCATTACTGGGCTGGGGGTGTAGTTCAGAACAGAACACTTGCCTAGCATACACAAGGCCTGGGTTCAGTGCCTAGCATCAAAACCTGAAAAGCCTTGTAATTTTCACTAATTGAATCTGTACTTCTTTAATCCTGATACTTGGCAATGATTCTACTCTTCCTTGGTAGTATGGATATAATGTCATAAAGAGCACACATTGTTAAGACCAGTGTTGCCAGGTAAGAATGGTTTTATTCTCTCCCCTCATCTTCTCCAGCCAATTTGTTTCTCTGATTCTTTATTATGGAAATATAACTTACACACAATAAAATTCACATTTAAAGACTGATAGTTTGTTGGATTTTAGTTTTTCTACAAAGTTGCACAAATATCAGAACTACTTAATTCCGACTCATTTCTGTCTCTCCAGGGAAGCAGTCATTCTCTGTTTTATTCCAACGCCATGGTAGCACTTGACATCCATTATTTCCCATCTCTGAAATTGTTTGCTCATTATATGTGATATTACAAACCCTGTTGTAATATTTCATATAAATGGAATCAAATAACATGTAGTGTTTGCATCATGGAGCCTAATGGTTTTGTGTTCCACTTAGCATAATAGTTTTAAGGCTCATTTATATTGTCATATGAATCAGTATCCTATTACTCTTATCAATGAACAGTAATACATTATACAGCTATGCCACATTTTGTAGATCTACTCATCATTTGATAGATACTTGAGTTGTTTCTGTAGTCAATACTACTATCAACATTTATTTATAAATTTTCTTATGGACATGTTTTCACTTCCTATAGGTGCATGTCTAGAAGGAGAACGGGTGGATCATTGCTAACTTTATGTTTACTCTTTTGGGAAGATGCAGGTTATTTTCTCATCTGTTACAGCATTCTATGCTCCCACCAGTAATGTGCGAGAGTTACAGTTTTTCCACATTTTTATCCTAATTAACACTTTTAACTGGAAAGTTTCCACCACCACCATATTACAGAGTATGTTATTGTCATGTATTTCCAAGATTACCAGGATAATTTCTTAGAATGAAGAGTTCTCTAAGAAGTCTCATTTCTAGTTTTAATGTAAATAGTGTTAATGTACTATTACTACTATTACTATGCTCCCACTTTCTCAGTCTCATTTTTGTTCAGTAATATGAAAGTCATTTTCAAATCAAAGGAGTTCCTTCGGTGGCATCTTTACCACTCACAGCCTTCACTAGCCTCCTACTTGTTTATCTCTTAGGAGTATCATCTATAAGGATGTGGTTCTTATAGATGATACTATAAGAACCTACCAGCATTATTTTTACACAGTCATCACTTATGGAATTCTCTGTTTAAATGTACTGAATTGTGAGGCTTCACATTGGAAACTTTCCAGCATGTGGTGACAAAGACGTTTTTTGGCAAGCATGTTTGGAAAGGAAGAGGGAGTGGCATTAGGGGGATTGGCGGTGTGTGTGGGGGGGTTACTAGGTTATAGCTGGATAACATGCTATCCCGTTTTTCGTTTGCTTATCTCAAAAGGAGAGGTATTTTATCTCTAGAAAAACACATTTAATTCTTTGATGTTTTAAGATAGGATTTTATTGTATTGATTAAAAATTGTATTATACATCATTAGAAACAGAAGTGGTGAGTCTGAGAGGCGAGTCTGAAATTATGACACAATTAAGAGGGAATTCTCGCATTGGCTTGTAATTTTACTTTCATGCATCTTTTAACTAACTCTTTAGCACTTGGATTTTCTAACTTAAGAGATGAGACTGAAGTAGATGGTCTTAAGATTTCTTCCTGGAATAACAGCGTCCTTCTATGTTTCATTGAGGATTCTTCAATAGGAGTATTTTCTCCTACTGCTTATTCCTAAGGTTGTTATATCTAAGTTCTGATTATTAAGTATGCCACATTTTAAATGAATTAAAGGGAAAGCTACAGGCATCAAGCAAAGTAACAGCATACTGATGCGTTTAGGGAACAAGTTTTGCTGAGTCATAGATTTTTGTGAGTATAGAATATTCCCTTCAAAAACATCTGGTGTGCCTGTGTTGGCTGTGGTTGCCTTTTGATTTTGGTTCCTAGGGATAAGTTCTACTGTTTTAAGTCCATGCTAACAGCCACTAAAATGAGGACTGACCAAACACTGATTTATAAGACATTTTACTTGCTAAGATTTTAGACCTATGTAGGGCCTTAGCCTCCAATGAGTGACTGTATCTGAGCAGTTGTTTTCTCTGAACTAAAAGTTGGTTGTAAAAAGAATCTTGAGTTTTGATTTTGTACAATTACTCTCTATGTGGGTGCTAATTGAAATTTTGTCCAGCTTCCTTTGCTTTTTTCTGAACACTGGGTATATGTTTGAGACTGGCTGGATGCAGCCATTGCTGATTCCTTACTAATTCCTTTCCCATTTACTGTGTTTATTTTTGCAGGACGTTTTTACCCCAGAATGCAAATTTAAGGAGTCTGTGTTTGAAAACTACTATGTGATCTATTCTTCAACCCTGTATCGCCAGCAGGAATCAGGCCGCGCATGGTTTCTAGGACTTAATAAAGAAGGTCAAATCATGAAGGGGAACAGAGTGAAGAAAACTAAGCCCTCATCTCATTTTGTACCAAAACCTATTGAAGGTATGAGAGCAACTTCTTTTCTTCCTTGGACCCTGATCTATGTGTTGAGAATGGTGCTTCTTGTCTCCTGTACTGTTGTAGGCTCTGCCTGAAGTGAAATGATGGAGCAAAGATTCAGAAAATATAGTAAGAATATTCACAGCAAAGAGAAAAATAGAGAGCAGAGAACTCTTGTAAATATGTGGCACTTAGAAAAAATGTGCTTGAATATGGAAGTTAGAAAATTTTGAATATAGAAAATTAGTGTCAGTTACTATTTGGAATGTAATTTCCTTCTTTGTTGAATGCTATTTAATTTTTTAGAATACCTCTGAAAAAATTAATACTATTATTACAGAGCTTAATTTTTTTCCAATTAGTTTTATAAATAGGTGTGATGCTGATCTCTTCATCCCTGTGAGAAAATACAATAACATTTTGTGCCAGTTTTCTTCACATTTGTAAGGAACAATAGTGTGTTGTTTTATTTAGTCTTCAGAATTTCCATTCTCATTTGAGCCCTAACACTTGCCCGTCTTTCACCACTTAAAACAGTGTTGAGTGTTTCAAATTGAGCAGGGAGTAAGCCCATTGAGAGAAACTTTTTTTTTCCCTCCAAAGTTCTCTACTTAGGATGATGAGTGGTCATATTTGCAATGCAGACCAAAGAATTAATTATATATTGACACTTATCAATATAGAATTTTTCTCTGGAAACTATGATACTAACTTAAACCATGGCTCAGTCTCCTTCTCGGAGGAAATGAAAAGCATGGAGACAGTGCACTGCAGCCCTGACTGAGTCTGACATGCTCTCCTGTGAACGTTATAGATGTGGTCAGTTGGAGAGTGTGCACAGTGCCAGCTGCTCAGTGTTCATGCAGTACATGTGACTATAGCAGACTATAGCAGTCAATCACAGTCTAGCTCACATTATGTTATGTTCGGAACGCTGGGTGGAAGGGGACAGTCACTCCTCCCAATGCCTCTTGAGCCTTTTCTCACACCTTGAGCATTAGTCATGTGAAACTGACCTTGTACTATAGTTGGCCTCATGTGTTCTATCCCACCTGCCCTAATTTTCATCCACTCATCTGCTTACTAACTTTTGCAAGGAATGAATTAAAGAGTCCATACTGCTGCTGTTATTTTTCTCTGATTTCTTTACCAGAAGAATTAGGCATTATTTCTCGTATCTTCTCTATGTTTTTCTGCTGATCGTGTTGTTCTAGCCATGCCCATTGCTCCACTGTCTCTGCCTATTCATGGTTAACTCATTCTCAGAATGAATGGAATATATTTGTTTTTTTCTCTCACCTCTCTTTTGTCATGTGGACTATTTAGCATATCATAAAGAGATATTTAATCAGTTCTCAGTTGAACATGTGAAGAAACAAGTAAGTGTAAAGATTAAGAACTATATTTTCCAGAGGATATGTTCCTAGAGGTATGAAATATGGTTACTAATGGCAATGGTGTAGCGGAACTGGGAATTAGAGGAAGTATTGTCATTTCTACAGAAAGGAATATATCATTAAGGACTAGGCCAGATTCATACAAATGGGGACAAGGAGAATCATCCAGACAATGCCATTTCACGTACACTATGGTTAAAGGCAGAAATGTGCCTGCTTTGTAGGGCTGAGTAGAAGGTCCCTAAGAAATAGATACTACCACTATAGGAAATATATTCTTTCTTAGGAATGCTTTGGCAAATAATAATTTCAACTCCTGTATCATTTTTAATAGTTAAGCTGATGTATTCATTTTTTTTTGCAACAGTATTACAAGGCTATTAACAAACTTCAGTAAAGCTAGAAAAATATATTTTAAAAAATCTGTTTTATTTATTCTTTATATAGATGGTGGAGTCTTGCAGAACCCCTTCCACTCCATTCCCCCAAAGGAAACATCTATAATCTGCCTCCTTAATTGGAGCTGGTTCTGTACTCTGGTTAGTTGAATTTCCTCTTGGGGCGGATGGCCTTGTGTACATGTCGAAAAGAAATGCGTGGGATGACTGTGCTCAGAGTCCCAGATGCGCTTCAGTGTTCTGCTTATTGCTGCATTTTGTAGAAATAAGGGAAGGTACAAGAAGACTGTTACAATGCTATAAATTAGAAGTAAGACTGGCCTCACACAACGTGTGCCAATGGCAGGTTACTAATGCTATCCTCTCAGAAACTGAATCTGGAGGGGAGCTCTCCAGAAATGGTGCCATGGTGTCCCAGTTCGGGGACCTTGACTGCTTGAATCTTTCACATCTTTCATCTTAGTGCCTTGCTGGGATTCTTTAGATCTGCACAGTGTAGCCAGAATGATGCACAAAATAGAGCTAAACCTGTGCATTGCACTCTTAGCAAAACTACACACACTGTGTGTGACCCTTCCAGATTCAGAGGGCAAAGAAGAACTAGCAGGGATTGAAAAATCTATGCATGTTTTCATGTCAGCATAGTCTCCAATAGCTGCCACACAATCTTAACACCTCGGTAGCAACACCTAGACGGTTAGCCATACTTAGGTACAGAGGAGATGATGGATGGCTTCATGCCAAATATAGATTCAGGTCTAGGAAAACAGTGGTAGAGTGGGCACCGAGACATCAGTTTCTGCTTCTGGATTTAAGCTTCTTCACCTTAGAATGTCTCAGGTTCTCTTACTGGCATCATTTTAGTTGTTTGTTTTAATTTTGCTTTTCCTGGTGAGTTATAAGGATTTTCCCTTGACACTGGAAGGAAAATAGTCTCTGTTTTGAAATTGGATTCACTAATACTTGAATTTAATTCCAAGGTCCTTTGATGAGTTTCATTTGCAGGAAATAACTCCTAGGTGTGTGATGAGACTCACTTCGGAAGATGGAAACTTGGCTGCTTTCTCATCAAGGACCATTTAATTCTCTATCGATGTATTTGCCATTTTTCTTAAAAAACAAAGTATACTTAATCGAACAATATTGGTCAAGTTTTATAATCCTTTCTTCTTCTAGGTGGTGTTTTAAAGTATGCCTCAATTATTTTCTCATTTTTTATTCCATTTTTAAGAAGTAGTTTCTAGAATAATTTGCTTCACAAATGTTGAAGTTGAAGCAAAGAAATAAGTGTGTAATTAGTTCCAAGTCATGGAATCTATAAGTAACAGAGCTGGAATTCAAACCAGAGCAGTCTGCCTCAAGCAGTCAAGTGCTGAACTTCCATGAACATGGATGACACGGGCTGGTCTGAAGTCAGAAAGGCTGTGGATGTAATCTAATTACTAGACAAAAGGAATCAATGCTCTTGAACCCATGTCTACTTATGATTGCTTGTCCTTTTCTTCTCTTGAAATATACTACAGTGTAGAAATAAAACTCCTTGCAAATCCTTGAAGAAATTTATGCTCTTATAAATTATTTGATAAACACAAATTTGTCAGGTCCTTATGCTTCATATATATTCTGTTATAATTGTCAAAATATGCAAAATTTGAAACATTCTCCATCAATTCTTTATGCAGCTATATTTTATACCATTGGGTTTCTATTTGTAAGAAAGATAATTGAGGTTATGTTAGACTTTTCTTTTCTGTGTACTAGAACTTCTTCCTTCCTGGTGGGTTTCCAAACTATTCTTGCTATATACAATCTATCAATTTAGTATTCACTAGGCAGGTTCTATATATTATCTCTATTTAAAAGAATCACAATAGCCCTAGTTTATTCTTCTTTTATAGATGAGATGACTAATATTTAAACCAATAAGTAAAGTGTCCAAAATCACAAGTCTACAAAAATTCAACAGTGAGATTACAATCCAGGAATCCCAGACCCAGTGCCTAAGCACTTGACCCTACATTATACTGCCTTGTGATTGGGAGCAAGCTATGAATATCCAGCTACCCAGAGAAGTCAGTGAGGATGAGATGGCAAAGTAGAAATGCCGTACCATGTGTTAGTTAGTTTTCTGTTGCTATGATCAATCACCAGGAGCAAGGCAATTTACAGAAGAACAAGTTTATTTTGGTTTATTGTTCTCAAGAGTTAGAGTCCAGCCTGGTGGTAACAGCATGGAATTAGACAGCAGGAACAGAAGCTGAGAACTCACATCTTGAGCTGCAAACAGAAAACAGAGAAAGCAAATCCATTGTAGAGCAAGGTCTTAAACGCTCAAAGCCCACTCACTCCTAGTCACATTCTTCCTTCAGCAAGATAGCACCTCCCAAACCTTCCCAAACACTATCACCAACTGTAGACCAGGTATCCAAATGCCTGAAACTATGGGGCCTGTGTCTCATTCAAACCACTATAGACCATGATAAAAACCACATACTAAGCTGGTTTTTCAACCCAGAAGAATTAAGACAACTGTTTATGAAGTGATATAAAAATAAATATTGAAGATGAGTGGATGTGACCATTAATGGAGTATAATGTTCAAACTGAGTTAAAAATAATTAAGAATGCATTGCCTTTGTACCTGTTAACTTAAAATATGATAATAAAAAGGGAAAGTTTACCTCAAAAACTAATAAGATTTAGAATGAATGCATTTAAAAAATGAAGATTTAATAATCTTAGAAATAAATAACTCAGTGAGTCACCCAGTCCTACAGTTTGCTGCCCAGTGGAAGTGCCCTTCCCTAGTATATATAGACACAGTGAGTAGACAGAAAAAGACATTCCATGCTAAGTGAAAACAGTAGCAGACATAACCACCTATATTTATATCAGATAAAATATACTTTGAGATAAACCATATAAAGAGGCAAAGAAAGAGACCAGTTCAACAAGGAGCTATAACAATTATTATAAACTTATATAATATATAAATAAGATATAAAATGCTTATATACTTATTATGTTTAATGCTCTTAATTTCCCACTATGTAAAGCAACTTGGGATAAATAATTTTTAAAGTTTTTGACAACGAAATTGTATGGTCCCCCACACAAGTTTATAGTTGCTTTTTTTTTTTTTTTTTTGGCTTTGGCACATATACTGATGTCTAACAGGTACATTGTTAGTTTGATAAACTAAATTCAA